AGGAATGAAGAACGATTTGTGTGAGAGGTGCTGAACTGGAATATCTCAATTACATCTGCAGCTTTAGAGGCCTCTTTCCATTCTGGGTATTAATATGGAGGCCCCAGGGTGGTCCCTCTGTTTCAGAAGGGGCTAGGAATAGGAGAGAGAGCAAGAAGGACCAGAAGGCTGACACTGTTAGGCTACGCCAAACGACCTAATTGCTTAGCTGTCACTTGTATAATTCCTGGACAAAGTAAAATTATTACACAAAATCCATCCCATTTAGCACAAGTGTCTATTAAGTAACTTCACTCACTGAAAAAGTGCCAATGCAGACTCCTGTGTGGATCTGATTTGCCATGCTAGGCCAAGCTTATTTTATTACATACATTCTGCATTCTAAGAACTAATAACTTCGTATTGTAAACATTAAGCATACAGAGTTAAAATTCAAGGCCACATTATATCATTGATTGTCTCTTTTGATGTGTGTCTTTGGCTGGCCGAGATCAACTCGTAGTGTATAAATGCATAAGTTATATAATTATTATATAAAAAGGAAAAAAAAAAACATTGACTTGTATACTTCATTCTGACAAACGCACAGCGTTCGCGACTCGATAAGGAAAACTGGAGCCCACCTACCCAAAAGGCCTATGTGATTTCTGCTTGTGGTAGCTAAGAAGGCAAGAGCCTTCTTTACCTGACCCTGTGGAAAACAATGCTCCCACATAACAATGAGGTCCTAAATGTTTCATTTAAATATCAGACAATTCCAGTTAAATTTTCTTTTGACAAAGAGATGCATATTTTTGTTTCTGAATTCTACTACTTCCTCTTCCCCCATTACACTGTGTCCTTTCTCATAACACTGGGTTTGGTATAACACTGACCACGTTAAACCTCAAGTCTCATGACTCATCCTCCAAAGTCCCAAAATGTTCTCTAAGTCCGGTCTTTACTGCTTGCGAAGATTCTTTTTCAGTCCTTACCTCCTCCTCCTCTCTCCCCTCCTTTTCCTCCTCCTCCAGCCCTCTGTCTTCACACTCACTCTCTGTACACGTGCTCAGTCCACCCTTTGGCTCATAGTTCCTCTAATACGGTAAAGAAGTTGAAAACTTTGGGTCGTCTTCACAGTTTAGAGAGCTGATAACTCCCCATCAAATAGAATGTATCTGATTTCAACCAAGACAGTAAGTGCCGACGAGCTCCACATCGATGTCTGTTAATGGGCCACAGTCTCTCTCGTGTCTTTTTTTATTTTTTTTGTTTTTGTTTTTTTGGGTTTTTTTGTTTGTTTTTGTTTTTGGTGTTGATATGTTTCTATTTTTAAATACAGGTAGTTTTCCTTAAAATGACATTATAAATGGTATGTTAGGTCAAAACTGTGTTATCTCTATTGCTTTAGTTTAATCCCAGTTTGCATTAGCAAGATCCCAGACTCTACTCTAAAATTTATACATGTCTTAAGACCACTTTCTTTGGCACTTTGTCCTTATGACTTCATGCTTCTACATACAATGTCTTTTACAAGGCCGGTCCACAGATTATATGTCCATATACATTACATTTTAGCATCCTCTCTATTTTTGTAGTAATACTTCAGTAACTCCCTCCCACCAAGAATCTTTGGATCTCTTCCCTGGCTTCCTTCTCCTCCAGTCTATCAAGCTTTTTCAATTCTCTTGAGGCACTTTTGATGCATGATCTCCCATGGAGTTTGTGACAATGTACTGGTGATTGTATGCTGTTGGGAAAGACCTCCACTGGGTCTTTAGTAGTAACTTCCCAGGTGAGAAGGCATGTGGCTGGCTGGCAGCCTTGTGTTGGGGTATATACCCCCAGTTGGTGAATTCCAGTATGGGTTTGGGGCAGCAAAAAAACTGGAAGATGTCACAGGGAGGGCAGGAGGGTGAGGAGCCACAAAGTTCATCTTCTGTGGGTGGGTGTGATAGGAGCCCATGTACGGGAGGTCTGAGGGGTACTTGTACAGAGATGACTCTGGAGGGTGGGGCTGGAGGGCCTGGGCGATCCCATGGAAGTCAAACTTGTAGGCATAGCGCTTCCCGTGGACTTTGGTCATGATATTTTTGTCATAGTAGTAACGCAGGGCACGACTGAGTTTATCATAGTTCATGTTGGGTTTGCTTTTCCGTTCTCCCCAACGCCGGGCAACCTCATCGGGATCAGTCATCTTGAACTCGCCATTGGTGCCTTCCCAGGTGATGCAGTTGGAGTTTGAGCTGTCTGACAGGAGCTCCAGGAGAAACTGCCAGAGCTGGATCTGGCCACTCCCTAGTGAGGTCGAGAGGGGGGACAAAACACCAGTAAGAACAGGTTCTGAGGCAAAGACACCCTCTCATCAACATCGGAAATACTTACAGTTGGAGCCTGCCCTGTGGCCTGGTGCTTAAGGAAGCCGAATCCCACATGGCTAACAACAGTTCAAGTCCCAGCCCCAGTGGCTTGAAAACATGCTCTATGTGCGTGTGTGTGTGCGCGCACGTGCGCCTCAAGTCCTGATGGGGTGGAGAAATGGAGAAGGGACTGTGGCATAACTCCACCACACGGTGGTGGTGGGGAGTGCTTTCTCCCTCTCTCTGTCTCTCTGTGGTGAGAGCACATATCCTTTGGTACTTAACAACAACAAAAGTGGGTACTGTTAGTGTCCGGCTCAGATTCCCTTGACCAGGCCTGTACGCCCATCCCTCAGCTGCTATGGGCACATCGGCTGCCCTTGTTCCATGGCCAACATCTTCTCCAGATACTTGCCCTGGGCTGAACTGGAGCTGCCTCACTCACTCCTAGGTACCACACAGCCAAACAGGGTGAGGCTGAGTACCACAGGCTGGTCCTTGCTTTAAGGAGCGAGTGAGCCTGGGATGCTGTTTACATTCCAGTGCCACCCACAGGGTCAGGCAAAACACGAGTTCAGTTTCAAAAAGACTCAGAGGAGTCCAGGAGTTTCCTCCACTTCTCCCTCTACCCTAACCTGATTTCTCTCTCCTTCTCTACAGAGAACATGCCGTAATTAAACATTTTCTCAAGTATTCTTATCCCAAACTCTGCTTCTCGGGACCTGAACTACAACAGTGCTCTTTGGCGATCATCAGGCTGATCTAAGAGGTTCAAGTCCTTTGTGGAAGGCAAAGAATATTCTATGGAGCCACACCCAGACTGAGTCCCTCTATTTCTGACTTCCTTAGAAAGAACAGACAGGTCACTGTGGTGTTTGAGGGGAGGGAAAGCTAACAGTTCCTATTCTGCGAGGCAGCCAATGCCATTCTGTGGATGGCAATAATGGCGTCATACCATTTATATTGGCTAGGTCAAGGAAAATAATAAAAGGCAGATTTAGGAAATGAACTTCTAAAAGTTTATGGAAAAAAGTAGAGAATGGAAGTAAACACCGTTATTTCTAACATAACATTTGGCTGGCATTCATAAAGCAACTCTGTCAAAACTTTTCCTAGAACAGAATTAACACACTCAAATGAGGAAGTTCAGAAAAAAGTTGGCACAATTTCAAACCAGATCACCCAGTTCCAGTATTTAGGCAAATGCATCATAACGGAAATCCATGGGTTGCCCCTGTACTGAAATGCCAATTGTGTTCAGCAGAGTTTCCAAAAGTAAGGCTGCAAGAATGAGCGATTACAAGTCGTCTTGTGGAGCCAGAGGAGGCTCTGACTTAGTTATGGAGATCTCATTTAGCAGGTGTACACAGGCAGAATTTTCTCGATCTTACTGAAAGCAGATAGATACAGCTTTTATATCTTATTAAATTCAGAGAAAAATCTAGGCACATCATTCTAGCCATAATAATACAGTACTTCTTAACTTATGGTTTCATAAAGGAGAGAGCCATTCAAATAGTCACAGTAACACTGAATGCCAGAAGAAGTCAAGCTATATTAAACAGATTAACAGAAGCTTTTCTTTTTAGAGAGAGAGAGAGAGATTTTTTTTTTTCTATATGGTGGGTACACTTGCCAGAGAGACAAGAGAGAGACAGAGAGACAGAAAGGGAGAAATCACACCCCCAGGGAGGATGATTACAGAAGCTTTTAAAATCAATAACAGGCAGGTCTTTCCTCCCAAACTCCAGCTTTGACTCTATTGCCAAAACGATTTCCTCTTATTATAGTATAAGTAAATATCAATAGATGTGAAAAAATAATTAAGGTAATTTTAACTGGCAACTGTTCAGGGAATTGATGTAAGAATTAATTATAAGTAAACTCATTTTTTTCTCTAAATCCTTTCCACTAGCTCCCTATATAAATTGTCCAACTCATAAATCCTTGTATTCACGTCAGCTACATGGAAATGGTTATGTTTGTGAACTCATCCACACAATGGCATCATGAGAAAGGTCAGCCTTTTCTGAATATATTCTGGAAAGTCATCCTTTTCAGTCAAGCAACACATTTGAAATGTATTAACAGCTTGTAGGTTATCACAATGGAAGCCTCTGCTTTTGCAGAGGCTTATACAAAATGTTCTCCATCAAGTGTTGGTGCCTCCAACATTTCATTAATATGCATTTTTTTTAAATACAAAGACTAGTATGAGGAAACCATATGGCTTTAGTATATCTATTGTAACCAAAGGATTACATCTTGAAAAAAAATTCCATCTATGACCTGGGAATTGGGAAAACATGGGTTTTTAGTTTAACAGTCTAACATATGTTTCACCGTAAGCACATACAATTGTTTCAAAATAAATATTCAGTGTCAACTTCTTCCTGTAGAGAGAGCAAGTCCACAGATTTTGTATAAACATACAGACCTACTTCAACAGTCAAAATAACACTTGGTATCTACTCAAACATTGGCATTGCCTTTTTGGAATTTGTCGCTCATCCACTTCCTTTATACATATGTGCAGCAGAGAACCAGTGGGAAAAAAAGGGGCCTCGTGTCTCTCCTGCATCTGAAGGACTAGAAAGAGGGAGACCTGAGCCATGGTTAGAATGCAAAACCAGAAACATGGATGAGCAAATTTCTCATTAGACTATGTTACTCATTAGCCGTGAAAACACGAAGCTCAGGCCAGAGAACATTTCAAACATGCATGGGGGGGGGTGGGTGGGTAAAAAAGAGATTTATAAGGAAAATTCATCTACTTCCAAACCTGAGAATAAATCCCAAAATGCAAAAATCAATGAGTGTTTAAGTAAATGGTGTAAAACGTAGTTGTATGTCAAACTTATCTTTAAATTGAATATTAGTAACAAAATTAACTGTACTTATAGTATATACAGTAGATTTTGCCACTATGCAAAAAATTCTCAAGGATGAACGACTGCTGAGAAATCCGTGCCAATGGTAAATTAAATGAGTTATTCTTGGCCACAGCAATTCGAAATCATCTATTTAAATTCTTCATTTACTGCCAAAACAATAACACGTAATGTGAGAGAAGTGAATTTTAGAAAATTTTAGGAAAGCCTAGAAGTAGCTTGGGTCACTCACTAACGAAACCAACAAGTAAAAGAGAAAATTTTTCATCCAAAGAGTATCATCACTTCCACCTCATGAATCATCCTTTCCTGGTAAAACCTTTCAGCTTTACTTTTTCACTCTATCTTGGTAACATCTTTAAAACACCAATAGGAGTAACGATTTTGTCCTAGGAGGTAAGTGTGGCTTAATACATCATGGCACCCACTCAAACGTCCACAGACAGATGAAGGGATTGAAAAAGTGTGGTACATTTACACTACAGACTACTACTCAGTAAAAAAAAAAAAAAGGAGAGAGAGACCCGGGCATGTGATAGAAAGTGGGCACATATGGAATATTTACTGCTAAGCAAAAGCAAGCCAGACTGTGAGAGAGGCATTATATGACCCCACTCAATATATACTAAATGTCTGCACTCTATGGCAGAAACTGAAAGATTGGAAGGTATAAAAGCACAGAGGGCAACTGTGGGCACTGCAGACAGTGTGTGAGAAGGGTGGGAAATAGGGGAGGGTGAGAGGGAGGGAATCAAGGGGGAAAAGAAAGAAGGGAAACATTTAAGAGACACAAAAGTGGAAAATGATCTGCTGATGATAATATGTATGTTAATACCTTTGATTAAACCAATATACAGTGTATTCAAGATGGAAAAATTCATTTGGTATGCTGTAAATATATACAGTGATTAAGTGTAACAATAAATAAATAAGTAAATAATGAGGGGGAAAAGTACAGAAGACAGTTCTTTAATTTGGGTGAGGAAAGCAGTCTCCTCGAAGCAAAGTGACAAAGAGGTAGACTGAGAGAAAAAAAAAGAAAAAGGGCAATAAACCTAAACGGTTGGCAAACCACAGGGAAAAGCAGAGATCTGCAGCGTGACTCAGCAGCTGTGGGCTTGGTGGAAACAGTGCCTGGGTGCAAGGCACTATATCCATCAGCTGATGAAGGAGAAAGGCAGTAAATAAAATGGTGAAGGTTCCAGCAAACACCATGGTGGCTGTGGTTTTGGCCACTTTCCTTAGTAGCTGGGGAGGTGCAGAAAATCCTGTGTGCCAGGTAGAGACTCTGCAAGGCAGCAGACATGTCTCAGATGGTCATCTGTGTCCCAGGACTTGGTGGAGCTCAGATTCTGCTTTTTGAAGGGATAGGGAGGACAGTGGTGGGATGCACCAACTTTTGGGGTTGGCACTGTCCCTCAGTTGGTTGAATCTTGGATCTGCCACTTTTGGAACTTTGAGCTCTCTGCTTAAGGGTCCTCATCTGTAAAATGAGCTACTTTCTTTCAGGACCACTATGAGTATGAATTTAATACACAGATGATCTTCTAAAGATTCAGTTGGGCTGAAAACCAGAGTTTAAAGAAAGGTGTATTCCTGATCTATAGATAGGAAATGTCAAAAGGAAGAAAGCTACCCCCCAGGAATTTGATGCTGGCTCTTCAGAAGCTTGGACTAGTGGTGTACCCAAGGCTGGCTGACATTTTTTGAAAGCTTACTGTGTGGCAGCCACTGTTCTGCACATTTTACATGTGTTGGTTTACTTATTCCCCAGACGAATCGTAATCAGCACATTGTAGAGATGAGGAAATTAGAGCCCAAAGAAGTAGAGACTTATCTTGCCCAAGGTCAGCAAAGGCTAGAATCCAGATTCCGGGCTCCCCTGCTAATAACTCCCAGAGCATTGCCTGGCTTTTGTGCACACCTGCACAGTCTCTTTGGGCTCTTCTCTGGAGTTTGGAGAACTCCCACTGGCAGATTGCATGTTCCCACCTCCAACAAGTAGCAAAACACCGCTAAAACTGGTCTTTACTTTGGCACGAATCAGGAAATATTTTTTTTTATTTTATTTTTTTTCATTTCTTTTTTTAAAATTTTTTTATTTATTCATTTATTTATTTATTTATTTATTTATTTTATTCATTCATTAATTTGACCAGAGAGAGACAGAGAAAGAGAGAGTGAGAAAGCAAGCCACCAGGTCCAGGACTTGAACCGCAGTTGGCCATGTGGGAGTATCCAGCACCCTAACCACCACACCAACTGCTGGTCCCATAGCCTTCCATACATTCAATCACATTATTATTTGTCTTACAAAATGGATATTTCAACAGGTGAACATTTCTCCCTAGTACTGTTGATAAAACTATGAAATATCTTCAACAGATAATACCACACCTCTTTGTGCCATTAATGCTTTGCCTCTCTGTCCCTCCCCCAAATGCCCTTCCTCAGCTCCTCCTCTTTCACACACACTATATCTGGTATTTACACGTATATACTGTATTTCTATATCCTTTAGACAATTCCATGCCTACCACTAAAGAATATCCAGTTAGCAATCATGGAGCCACTGAAGATAACCCAAGGAAACTCTTGTATAGGAAGGTAGTTTAAATTTATTAGAGGAGCCATGAAAATTTTCAGTTCCAATGGGACATAAAGGAGCTGCTTTATTTATAATTGACTCATCAGATAAGAATGCAGAAACACACGTTCCTTCCAAGTATACTGAGATCCAAAGTGCACACAAATGAATATTTGGGATAGAGAGGCTGGGATGCTGGTATCATCTCATGCATTCATACTCTGTGATGTAATCTTTCCACTCAAAATGATTAAAAAGAGTTTGCATTGTGTGAAGAGCAAAGGCAAAAATTTTTAAGTGATGAAAGATTTATTCATTAGAGAATGGAAAAATAAAATAAAACAGGAAAAATAATTCTCATTAATAAAGAGATAAAAGACATTATGGTTTCAGGGGAAAAGGCTATGTGAATTACAGTTAACATCAGTCCTAAAAATAGATGGAACTAAAAATCTAGTTTATTATAAACTGTGTGGGTGTGTGTGTGTGTGTATTAAATCTTTATCATAAAGTCACTTGACTGCCAACCAAAGGCTGTTGCCATTTTCCCCAGGCCCAATAAGAATGGTCTTAATGTTCCAAAATGCGTCTTTGCTCATGACGTTGACACTGTTGACCTGTGATGTGCCAGGATATTTTCTCCAGACTTGCGATGGATTTTCAGTCTCCTTGCTTTGTCCCCAGCATCCTTTGTTCACAGTGAGTATCCCTGGCTGATGGGCACAGTGGAGGTACTAGATGCTCCTATAGGAGTTGGTGCTCTATTTAGGGACAAGTGATTCCTTGACCCTATTCTCCAAACAAGCCATGCAGGATTTATGAGTTGGGACAATCTTGGCATAGATCTATATCCCACTTAGCCAATTTGGGTGAAAGAGCCAGTTTAGTCTTATTTAGTACAGTTTGCCTCCTTCCCCATTCCTTTTAACAATTGCACCTAAGCAATTGTTACACTTGGTGGAAACCTTCCTTTCTATTCTCAGGATCCTCTTTCCTCCCTCCATATTTAGTTGAGGGCAGAGTAGGGCAAGAAAACAAAAAAACTTCTAAGACAGAGTCAGGTTTCAAATATGGCCTCCCTTCCTATTGTCTGTGTGATTCAGGAAAAGTTATTTAATTGCTCTGGACCTCTGATTTCTCTCTTGTAGAATGGAGATGATAACATGGAAGGGCTGTTACCAAGCACAGAAAGAACAACAGACACAAGCACCTTAGAGGAGGGGAGAGGAGAACTCCACAGAATGGGAGCTGTTTGATTGTTATTTCACATTATTGTATTAATCTTCCCAGAGTATTACAGCTTCTGTCCTTTTCTTCCTTCTACTCTATCCTGAATGTTGCTGCCAGATCAGCCTTCCTGAAGGGTGACTGAAAAAAATCACCTCAAAACACAGTCATTATTTTTCTTTGAATGGTTATGTGGTAGTTGCAAATGGAAAACCAAACAGAGGTAGGAGGAGGAACCACAGACCCAGGAATCTGACCAACGGGTGATACTCACATAAGAGAAAAAGCCCTCATTGTTTACTTAGTCTGTTACTACATCGCTAACAGATAGTCCTGAGACTTGTGAATTCAAGAGAATAGTTTATTTTGACTCATGATTCTGGTGGTTGGAAAGCCTATAAGTAACAGGCTGACCTGTAGCATGGTGCAGGGTAAGATGGTGAGCAGAGCAGAGCAGCTGTCCATTAGTTTCTGTGACTCATTCCCTCTGCTTAGATACCCATCAGAACTCAATCACTGGGGACCCACCATAATCACATTATCCAGGCTCCACCCTGGTATATCAGGGAGGAATTAAATTTTTACTTAGCACCTTTACAATATAACCAGTCCCAAAAAATAAACTTTTAGGGGACATCCAATCACTGCCTACTAAGACCAAATCCAAAACATGAACCTTTAAGGGACAAACCATTATCTAACCATAACAATTGCAATTACCTGTGTCTATCCCTCCACTCAACCAACATCTCTCTAAGTCAAGGACTATATTTCATTATCCCTGGCACTCAAGTTAATTATAGAGCGCCTAAGCTAAACTCCTGGCGAGAGAAGTAAATAAATAGCTCTATCTGTTGAGGGGCATACAAAATAATTATTGAATTAACTAAATAAAAATGTAATTTTAGAGATGCAGACACTCAATAATGGTAATGTTTCATGTTCTCAAAGTATAGATTCTTTTGTGGATATATACACTAACAGACTTTGAATTTTTCTGTTTCCCACCTACTTTGGCTTCAGTGTTTAGGAAATACATGTTCCAGTCCAAATTTGTAGTATGCCTGTGACATCTTGGCATTTGAATTTACAGTTGAGAATATGCAACATATGCTATGACTTCTAAAGTTGACGCCAGCATAGCTGGTTCTGACCTGGATATTGAATAAATGAAGCACTTTGGTTGGCACTGAAATGTGAGGACAGGTGATGATCCTTGGCAAAGTCCTGGCTATAAATAGGCCAATTAAGAATTCACACTTTCTTCTAGCATCTTGGTTGAGAAACATACCATCAAAGATGATCCTAAATTTAAGTCCTATGATTATAATGTTTTCCTTTTTAAAATGTTATTTTATTTGCTTGTGTGATGGGTTGAACTGCAGGTGTTGAAGTCCTAGCCCCCATTACTTCAAAATGTGAATGCCTTTGGAGACAAGTTCTTTACATGGGGTAATCTAATTAAAATGAAGTCATTGGGGTGAGACTTATTCTGATATAAATTATGTTCTTATAAAAAAGGAGAATTTTGGACAGAGACACATATAGAGGGAAGACTATTGGAAGAGACACAGGGAGAAGACAGCTATCTACAAGACAAACAGAGAAGCCCAGCACAGATTATCAGAAAGAACTAAAGTCCCACCATGACACTATGATTTCAGACTTTCAGCCTCCAGAACTGTGAAGCAATACATTCCTGTTGCTTGAACCACTAGTCTATGGTACTTTGCTATAGCAGCCCAAGGAAACTTCTACCCTTGGATTAAACCATAATACTGTTTTCTGAAGCCAGAATCTTAATTTACAACCCAACTCACTTTTTCCACATAGGCAGATAAACCATTAAGACTTAAAGCTAAAGTTCATTCAGTTGAAGTCATTTCTCACTGATACAAGTTTCCTTTTCAAAATAGCCACTGCAAAAAAAAAAATAACTTTATAAGAACCAAACCATAGCTGTATCTCACCTGGATTTGCAAGGCGGCTACTTGTTGGTCCAAGAATCTGATAAGGATCTACGGGGGGAAAAAAAGTCAAATCATGAAGAAATAGTTGTGACTTGGTATGATGTGACTTCAGGTGTAACGCTTACTCCATTGTGTTTCCAGATTTCAGAGCTGAAAATATTCCCCACCCCAAATCACCTGCCTCCACCTCCTCTGTGATGAGAGAAGATACCATGGAGAATCTCAGAGAAGTTTCTTAGAGGCCTCCTAGTTGGGGCCGAGCTTGGAGTCAGTCCCAGGTTTCTGACAACTAGAGTTCACTCAAACCCATGATATAAATGGGACAAACTGTGCTAAGTTCCCAGTCAACCCCAGGGCCGTGCTGGTCACATTGCAGCACACTGCCAACATCAACCTTCTACTGCAATCCTGCACAGTACCTGACACCAAAGTTGACATTGGTGTATACAGCACAGAATGTAAAATTAGAATTCACAGACCACTAAGAAGCAGACTGTGTAAGCAAAATATGCTTCCATATTTGTTACATACGTTTTGAATATTGTGGCAAGATCTCCAGTCATCTCAATTGAGTAGACTGATGATTTGATCCCCACTTTATATATGGAACAATCAAAAAAGAGAAAAACAAGGTTAATTTCGTGTAAATAGTGACACATCTCAGAAACTCCCTGCTGAGCTTCATCTTCCCTTATAGCTACTTGGATGATTCTTGAAACATACCTAACTGAGGACGCTGGTCTTCAGTTTTGGGCACTGTGGAAGGAGATGGTTGAGCAGCTGAAAATCCAAAAATGAAAAAGACAATTAGCTATAACTTTGGTCACCAGCTTTTACTGCTGTTACACAGTCATTCCACCACCTACTTTTAGTTATACAGCCTTACTCTTGTAATATGAAGCATCTACAGTAAGGCAAAAATTCCCTTTTTAATGAAAACAAATGCAAACATTGTAAGAAAAAAAGAGAACATTTTCCATTATTTAAAATATTTATTTATACCCAGATTAAAAAACGAAACAAAACAAAACAACTAAGTGGCTTATGCAACAGATTAGGCTGAACCATAGTCTAAAATAAATAAAGAGAAACCATCAAGAAAATGAAGCCAGAGATATATTTAAGCATAGCCAAGATTAAGAAAATCACCAATTATCTTTCTATGTTCAAATATCCCAGGAAACATGCATTTACCCATGCCGAAGTACATAACACCAGGTATTTCTTTTTGTTATGAAAGTCGTTATCACCCAAATGCACTTAAAGATCAGCTGTGCTTAGTTTCCAACAGAACAGTTCTACCAAATGCTGAATAACTGTAGATTAACTACAGGAAATATTCACTCCATCAACAGGGTCCTACTGCCTTGGAACACACAGATTCCAAGCAGTGGGGACCAACACTGTACCTTTTGACTGGGGGGTGGGGTGGCCATGGCCAGTCCAGGCTGATCTCCTGGGGGGCTCATAAGGTAAATCTGTAAAGACAAATAAATTCACCAAAAGATCAACACTACAAGTTTCATAATAGCTTTTTTTTTTTAGAGGTTTTTGACTTAGGGCACATGAGCTTGCCAGGGAGAGAAAGAGACAGTGAGAGAGGAAATGATAAATCACTCCCCAGGAGGGATTATGACACAACAATCCCTTCTCCTCGATTCTCCTCCAGGATCTTATGCATGGATGTACATGTGCCAGGCATGAGTTTCAAGCTGCCAGGTCCAGTACTCGAACCACTATGATTATGTGGGAGTCCAGAGATATAACTGCTACACTATCTGCTGGCCCTGTATAATAGATGTTTTCATTTTTATTTTATTTTGTATTTATTAGAATAATGTGCAAGAAAATTCAGTCTTCCAAAGAAATACTCAGTCTGAATTTCACTAGATTACTGTTTTATTTACTAGTTGTTCTTTTAGATATTTTATTGATCTAAAATGTTATCCTATTTGTCTGAAAATTCTCATTGACAGATCTTCCCAGAACTTGATGACTCTTCTAATGTTCTACAATCAGATCAAGACAGTATTCAAAGTTTCTTACAGTCTAAGTATCCTGCTTGCAACTGGGGCTGGATCTAAATCTCTCCTTTATTATCTTCATGATCTTATCCAAAACATAGCCAATGGTTTGGATTTAACCAACCAATTTTTGCTTGAGGTCTTCCCCTAAAACCATCAAAAGGCTCATGCTCCCTTTTCCACTCTCTCTTTCTCAGAAATAGTCACCACCTTCTTATCCTCCTGCCAGTTGTCTCTCTTGGACACCCCTTATTTTCCCTTTATAATCTCCTTCATTTATATTATATCAGTCTTAACTGGCCTAGTTATTTTTCTAGAAAAACGTCTACTGTTTCTTTTTTTAAAATTGAATTTAGAACTTCTCTAAAATAAACTGCATGAAATGAGTTATGGGGCTGAAATTATTGCCCCAAAGCACATTAATAACAACCTTAAGAAGATGCCAATTATTTTCTTTGTATTGTTCAGGTAATATCACTTGTCCCTGTCCCATAAACTTTCATTACATTTTGTATACACAAATTCCATCACTATACTTCTACATCTTCAATGTGAGTTCTAGTAATGATTTCAAAGCTCTAAATCATTTCAAATTTCTTTCAAAAACAATATTCCATGCATATTTCCAACACGAAGTAATGGCAAATGTCTGATATGACAGATGTGCAAGTTATTTTGATTTGATCATTTATGTATTGAATTTCTGTACTGAAAAATCACATTGTAATCCACAAATATGAGCAGTTATGTGTTAATTACAGAAAGGAAAATTTATATATGTAAATATGTATGTGCATATATATGTGTATGTACATATAAATATATAAATTACACACACACACACACACACACATATATATATATATAAACACTTCAGAAACATTATGCCCTTACTAGCTATATATATATATATGTATATTTCTCTTTGCAATCTTTTTTTTTTTTTTGAGAGGTTTTTGCTATAGGGTGTGTGTGCATGCCAGAAAGACAGAGAGACAGAAAAGAAAGTGAGAAATCATCCCCCGGGGGGATGGCCACACCACAATCCCTTATCCTCCATTCTCCTCTCAGGATCTTGGGCATGCATGTACACACGCCTGGCGTGAGTTTAAGCCACCAGGTCTGGGACTCAAACTGAAGTCAACTACATGGGAGTCCAGCGATGTAGCCATTATGCCATATGCTGGTCCCTCTCTTTGCAATCTTAACATGGACCATTTCAAAACTATGTCTTCTTGATGGGTGTCAATTCAGTGCCATGTGCCATTCTGGGCCAAATGAAGGACACAGTCAGATACTTCAGCAGGTGTTCTGTTGCCAGACATCTACAGACTGCTCTAGAATCTCACTTGGAAGGCAGGGAAATAAAAGTATTTATAAGCCTCTCTTTAAACAAATCATTTAACCTTGTTTAAAAATGGCAGTTCGGTGGGTCTGTCTTCAAAGAGCTTGACTATATTGCAGAAGATGTCTCCCTTCCTATTTTCATATCCCAATGAGAACAGAAATGATATGCAATGTGAAATTCAACACAGAATTGCCTTAATTTATTTGCTCTGTTTGGCTACAAGTGTTGCAACTAGTGTAGTCTGTGAAATCCTGCCCTCCAGAGCCTTGGCAGGTTAGGTAGTTTTTCTCTTCAAACTCTGCTATTGTTCATTCCTCTCTCAGTTGGCATTATTGCCTTTGGGGGCCTTAAGCTCTTCCCACTCAGTTCCTCAAATTTGCACTGTTTTGGTGTTGGGGTTGCACATAGGAATTAAATCTGCAGCTGCTATCAATTTGCAACTAAATTTCAACTTAAGTCTCTGGGAGCATTTTGCACATGGATTCCTAGCCAGTTGCCATTTTGTTTAAAAAGTAGTTAGCCAGAGTTTCAATTTGAGAATTGTCTCAGGAAGAAAAATCTAATAACAATACAATCCTAATGACATCTAGCCCAATTCAGGCACAGACAGATAACACAGAAATCTGTATGTTCTAGTTCCTTGTTTATCAAAGTGTGGTCCATGGATCAGCAATATTGGAAAGACTCGAGAATTTGTTAGAAATGCAGACAGTTAGCCCAGACCTACTGAGTTAGAATCAGTATTTTAATAAGGGCTCAAGTAACCTGGGTGCACATTCGAGTTTGGGAAAGGCTGCGCTACACAATTTCCATTCCTCTTTTCTAGGAGTCTATTTCTGTAGATGTTAATTTAGGAAATGTTCCCTGAATACAAGTTTTAAAAATGGTTGAGAAAGGACCCGTAAGTGGTACAGTAATTAAGACGCTGGACTTCCACATGGCCAACCACAGCTCAAGTCTCAGATCTGTTATCTTGAAACTTATGCCATGCATGTGTGTGTCCAAAACACCAAGAAGAGAATGGAAAGAAGGAATTGCAGCATGACCAGCCCCCTCACTTTCTCTCTCATTCTCTCTCTGTCTCTCTAGTGAGTGCATATGTCCTATGGCAAAAACCTTTAAAGAAAAGGAGGGGGTATTAAAAGAGTTCTAGATTGACTGTTTTTTCTTTTTCCTTTTTCTTTTAGGTTTTCCCCCTAGGATGAGTGTACTTGCTGGAGGGACAGTGAGAGGGAAAGTGAAAAATCACTCCCCAGGGGGATGGCCATACCACAATCCCTTCTCCTCCATTATCCTTTCAGGATTTTTGGCCCATACACACACATACCTGCTGAGTCCAGGACATGAATCAAGGTGAGCTATCTGAGAATCAGTGCCTTAACCACCACATCACCTACTGGCCCCTAAACTGACTGTTTTTACCTGTGGTATCAGGATACTAATGGATCTATTAATCAAGTTATTTTTATCCCACCCATTACATGTCAATTAAAAAGTAGAACAAACAAACAAACAAACAAAACTAATGGAACTCACAAAGACATTGCTCATAAAATGCGATCACAAAAATTTAAACATCGGAGTATTACTACAGAAGTATTTTGAAACTCTTCATAAAATCCTTCTTAGGATGTATAACCATGTCCAATCCTCTCTTGAACATTAGCTAGTACTTATATAAGGTCAAATTATGTCAAATTTTCCTCTAAGTATTTGAGATGTTTATATAAGGAAGATAATCAGGCTACTGTTTTCCCTCATGACATGCTAGTCTAATGGTTCCTCACCAGCTACCAATCAATACAGTGGGCACTAAGTGCCTCCTGAGGGATGTGATGCTGGGAAATGCTGAATGAAGGCTTACCAAGATGAGGGACAACCAAGTGACTGCTTCAGCAGCTACACCACCCCCAAGGCAGAGCTAGTTTCAAGAAGATCCACTCTTGACTACTTGAGAACCGTTATTCCATGTACCTTTGCTCTTTGTCCTTTATGGGTAACAGAACCTAGCACCTCTCATGAGGATATATGTTACACTGAATTTGTGGCGATCACTTAACTACCCTCTCCATTTCTCTTTAATTTCTATGTTCATGATAATTAATCATATCACTGAAGTTGTTGTTTAAAAAAAGCTTCTTTCTGGCACTGTTCTGCTATTTTATCTGTAAACGACTGAGCTTAAAACTGAACTGTATAAGGGGCTGGCAGGTGGTGGGGTGGTTAGGGGTGTCAGACTCCCACATGGCCGACCACGGTTCAAGTCCTGAACCTGGTAGCTTGCTTTCTCACTTTCCTCTCTCTTGCTCTCAACGTTCTGTCCCTTTCTGGTCAAATAAAGTGAATAAATAAAGCTAAATAAAATAATTTTAAAAAAACCATTGAACTATATAAACGCCATTTCATAGGCAGTTTGGAGTGACCATGGAAATATGAGAGACTAAATATATTCAGACTAAGAAACTAGAAGCTATAAAGAGAGGACACAGCCAGTGTTGAGCTCTACACACCAACACCTTTGCTTATTGACTGGGCACTGGGGTTAGGTCCTGATCTTGGCTGAGGTGTTTTCCCCACCACACTCTTCCCAAAACTTCGATGAAACAAAACAACATCCTGGAAGCCAGCAGGTGGCATGATGGTTAAGGTGCTAGACTCTCACATAGCTAGCCATTCAAATCCTGGACCTGGTCTCTTAAAATTCACACTAGGCATGTGTGCATGTATGTCCAAGATCCCAGGAGAAGAATGGAGGACAATGGATTGCAGTGTGGCCATCCCCCCTGGGGAGTGATTTCTCACTTTCTCTCTCACTGTCTCTGCCTCTCTCCATTGAGCACTGAGCGCATGTGCCCAATGGAAAACGAACACAAACAAATTTCCTGGCTGCCTTTCCCATGAGGGTGAAATTCGGCCAACTTGAATATTCTCCTTTTGTCAAACTCACTGAAGAGTTCATCCCTAGCCCTCTTGCCCTCCACTCACTCACTTTATTTTTTAAAGGGCCATAACTTGTATCATGCAAGAATCCATCCTCTCTGCAGAATCCAAGTCACATTTACAAAGCAATTCTGGAGTCCCTTACTGGACTGAATGGAAAAGGATG